TTACAACATTATTGATTATATTCCCTAGACTGTCTTTTTCTATCCCTGAGGCCATATTGTAGTTACCAATTTGTATTGTCTCATCACTTCCCCTTCTCCTTCATCCCCACCCCCTCCCAACTAGCAACCCTCAGTTTTTCCTCTGTGTCTCTTGAGACTATCTCCATCCACATCTCCCATCCATTCAGTTCCTACCTTCTGTTTTTAAATTCATAGAACTCCATCCAACACTAGATGAGATCTTAGAGATGTTTTAGTCCATTTCATCTTTTTACATTTGAGGAAACTGATGGGTTTTAAATGTTCATAATAGCAGCATATGTAATCCTAGTTGGCTTTAGATTTTTTTTTCCTGTAACGTGTCCAAAAGCTGCTGTTTAAAATTTGAAACCCGACACATGATCAGAATGAAAGGGAAATAGTTTTTTTTTAAGACAAATTTGCCTTCATACATCACACTAAAAATTGAGAGAGAGATTCTTATACTTAACTATGAAGTTTCACTGATTAGCCTTTTATCTAAATTTTTGTAATTTACCAAACTTAATGAAAGGTTTGTTTTCCCAGGAATAATTGGACAAATGTTATAAAGTTATATATAATAGCTTGGGTTTCCAGATATTAAAGTTGATCACTCATCGTCTTTTTGGGATGAGCCAGTGTGCTTAGTAAAGCCAAATTGGTTTCATGACTCAACTCTGACATTTATAAGCTGTGTAACTTAGAAATTACCCAACAACTCTGTATCTCAGTTTCTTCATCTATAAAATGGGGATGGTGATAGTACTGACCTCATAGTGTTTGTTGAAAACATTACGTGGGTTAAAACATGTAAATCACTTAGAAAACGGTAAGTGCTCATAATGTCAGTTATTATTTTTTTTCCTTTAGGATTTAAATTAAAAGAGTTGAAAAATAGGACTTGGTCAAAAAAGTTAAACACTGGTTTATCATTTGAAGTACAGCAGTCACATTAAAGCTCTCTTTAATCTATAAATTATACTCATGCCACAGTTTCCCATTTAGCAGGTCATTGTAAGAAATAATAGTTACGGTGCTCGGGTTAAACACATGTTCAGAGTACTCATTGTATGACTTTTTACATACCTAGTAACACTACTTTTCCAAAATATTAGCAAAAATAATTATAGCATTAATTCATTTAGTGCTTTACAATATTCTGAGTGCTTTAAAATGGTTTATTTCCAGGAAGTTGGGAATAGGCCAGTATATTTGTTAAAAAACCTACAACTCAGTATTTTTTTACTTTTTCTTTTCATATAAATTAATAACTTGGTTACCTAGTTTCCAAGTCTAGCAGAAATAGAAAAATAGGAGTGAGAATGTTATTACAGACACAGACCTGAGTGACAAAAAAAAAGAGAAAGCAAAACTCCTAGGAAACTAACACACAAGCTCATGAAACACAGCAGTTGAGAGCCATTTATTATAGGGTCAGTTAGCCCTAAACACTGTGGTAGGTCTTTAAAGCAGCATTCTATTTATATCATGGAATAACAATCTGAATTTATTAAAAGAAGATTATATTTGTATACTTGATACACATAAAATAACATGTTAAAAGAGGGCAGGAAATTCTTCAGCTACCTATAGAACTCATATATTCAAAGCAGTTTACTCTTCAGGAGTTCTGGATAGCCAAGAAAATACATGATCAAGAGGAAATATGCCAAGGAGTTAATTTCTTCATCAGATTTGAAATAAAATATTACCTTTTTTTTCTTTTTTTTTTTAGTGAGCTCATTGCAAGCTATGCATATTACAAGAGTGCTCAGCTTAGAAAAGAAAGTTTTTTCAATGTGTGTATCAACTGTTCCAGGGAGTGTAGTACAGGTAGATTGAAACCACAGGCACCTTGTCTCTTCTGCTCAGAAAGAGGAGATGAAGTCAGTTGACTCAGAAATGGAAATAGCCTCAGCACTTACTTTTCAAGAGAATGATAAGAATGGGACCATGAGGCTCTTGTCTTTAAGATATTAAAAGGCTTCATTAAATATGTTGCATTTTGTTCTGATGATCGCCACTGGAATCCAGTTTCTTAATCAGATTTGAGGGAGTTGGTAACCAGTGAAGGAATAAACATTGCTAGCAGAAAAATTTAAAAATATAATAGGAATCAAAATAGAAAGCAGCAGTAGGATAGGAGCTCTGAAATTTATCAACTTTAAGTAGAATTTTAGATGTTTTCTGTACATATTTTTGTTCTCATTGTATAGGTTTCCCTGAATTTTCCATCAGAAAGTAATTCTGTAATTTAATAAGTTCTTTAATAATTGCGACTTTTTTCTATCTGTGTATTCATAATTCTCTCAGTTACATTAAAAAAAACTACATGTATCTATTTAAATGAATTTTGGCTGTTTTACTTCTGAGTTCTTTTAAACTTGCGTTAACTCAAATGTTTAGAGATCTTATGTTTTCCAAATAATCTATATTCTTACTTTATTAATGACTTATTTATTGTTGTGTTAAATTACTTCTGAACTATTTTTTTATTATTAAAGGTTTTAAACACTTTAAAAAATATTCCAAATGCCAAAGCATGTAAAAATAGGACAATTAGAGCAAAGAAAGAAAGAAAAAGAAAGGAAGGAAGGAAGGGCCACAAGAGAAAAAATATTTTGGGAAGTGGGGTTATGCATTCCCTCCCATAGTACCCGACATTTAGGTGTGCATTATGTATTAAGTAATCTTGTATACCTCACTTAAAAAAAAAAACAACAAAAAAAAAACGAAATGGAACAACAGTGAAGCAATAGCACTACTTCTTTTGGAGCAGTATGAATAAGTCGCAGACATTGGAGAGTATAAACCAGAGTTTTAACCCTAAGTTTCTCCTACAGAGCCATGTGATGCTCACACATGGCAGACAGGTTCTTAGAGAGCCCTACTCTGCCATTCAAAACATGACGTAGATGGGCTGAAGTCAAGACGAACTGTGATCATGGGATAGCCTCTATTCCTCAGCTGTTCAGAGTTTAGCTTCATAATAACCTCTTTGCTATGAGATCATATTGAGATCCTAACGAGATGGATTCTCATATAATTGAGTAGCTTAGGAAGTTTCCTCAACCGTTTGATGCTGTTCCTAACTTGATTTGATGCATAGATTATGTATAGCCCCAGTTACTGAAAAACAAAATCCTTAAGTCTTTGGATGACCATTAAATAAGCAAAATGGATGAAAGGAGAATAACAATATTCATAGTACTAATCATAAATAATAGCAACTGTAGTTACCATTTATTGAGCTTGGTACTGTATTAAACAGCTCTGGATTAATTCTGGGAGATAGATATTACTATCTTTGTTTAAAGACCAGGATCCAGCAAACGTATTCAAGACCATACAGTTTAAAGTGGCAGAACCAGGATTTACTCCCACTTTTCTCTTACCACATAGCCATAACCTTTAGCCACTGTGCTTGCACTACTCCGTATAGCATCTGTGTCTAGATGGATTTTACATGGTTTGTACCATTATCTTTGATTGAAGTAATATTTTTTGTCATTTTTATTATTGTATTAAAATTTTACTACAAGTTGACATAGTTTGAAGGCCATACAAACTGCTACTATCTTGGGCCATGTTCAAAGGCCAAGAATGAATTTCTTGGAAGAATATTTGCATCATTGTAGAAGTAAGGGAAGCAAAGCTTTTAGAGCACACATAGCTGCAGCCCAGTCCTGACTTCACAGGCAGGGTGTCCACATAATGGCTGACTTTAGAATAAAGTCAATGTGTGGAGGCTGCACCCCATGATGCAGTTGATAAGAGCGACCTTACATCTATTTGATAGTCAAGTTCTGGGTGCTGTCAGGAAGAAGATGACAAAAAGCAGCACCCAGCAGGATCCTTTAGGGCTAGGAGTATTCATAATCACACTTTATTTCATGTGATCTAATGGTCTTTCTAGACAATGTATTTTTTTCAATGAGAGAACTACAGCCATTTGTACTGTTACTAGAGAAAAAATTTGTTTTTCCAGGAGTTTTTATCAGATGATTCCCTTTAGACTAGCAATGTCATCCCAGTGGGCTTGGTTATAATAAAGTAAGAGGCTTTTAAAATGTTTTCAGCAAGAATGAATTGGAATAAAGTAGATCTTGATGCTTGCTTTTACTTTATTATTTTTCATATAATAAGGTTTGCTGAAGTTCTGTGCATGTGTGTCAATAAAATGCCATATATCTTGCTAGTCCAAAGAAATAGTGTGAACTCACAATTTACCTGATAAGACTTGGCAGTAATTTTCTCAGAGATTTCATTTCTTCTGATATTTTCTTGAACAACTTGCTTACTACTAGAGCTTAAAAAAATTATGCCTGCTCCCATAGACCGTAGGTAATAAATTGTGCTTTATTTTCATATCTCTTTTTTTTTTTTTTTTAAAGATTTTTATTGGGGAATTGGGGGGATGGGAACAGTGCTGGGGAATTGGGGAAAGGGGAACAGACAAGTTGCTGTCGTTTTGTTCTTCAATCTCGTTGTGGAGGACGTTGCTTCACTGGCCCAAGTTGGCACCATCATTGCGCTCTTCTCTGGTGAGGCAGATCAGTCGCCGGCTTCTGGACGGCCGCTCACTGCGGCTGCTGGCCGCTCACGCTGGCTGCTGGCCACACACAGTAGCCCATGGCAACCCACTGCTACAGGGGCTGCAGCCCACGCCGTCGCCGGCGACTCATGGCAGCCCAGCTCCAGGTTGAGCTGTTGTTCAGCATCTTAGCTGTAGAGGGCAGTGTCACTGGCCCTCATATGTGGGATCCGAACCGGGGCCCTCTGGCATCCCAAGCGAGTTCTTAACCATCGCGCCACTTGGCCGGCCCTCATATCTCTTTACTGAGACCTAAAAGTTGAATTGGATGCTTTTAAAGTTGGCATTTATATTTACCATAATCTGGAAGGTTTAGTGGTATTTAACCAGAGGGAAAACCAGAATTTCGGGGGTGGAAGGAAGGAGGTACACTGTAGTAAGTCCTAACTTGAAAAAAAACATATTCAATACTATAACTTTATACTTAAAAAGATATACAAAATCTGCTTTTATAATACCCACTATATGTCCACTTCACTCAGCACTCTACCTAGTATACCTAGCACAGGGCCTGATACAGGTAAGTATTCAGCAAATGTTTATTTTCTGATATTAATGAATAAATGATCAAATAAAAGAAGAAAATATATATCTTGACAAAATCTTCACTTATTGGTGTGTTCTGAAATTAGACTATTTTCTGCTTATTGGGAGGTATCAAGGAGGAGAGAATGTGAGATTTTTGTATCTGTCAAATGGGTAACTTTAAAAAAGACTGCAAGTATTAGTCTAACAGGAAGAACATGGAATTGGGTGTCTAGATTTCTCACCCTTGCCCTATTGCTGTGAGTTAGTTATTGGATACTGTTATCCAAATTAGTTCTGTCTTTAGTTTTGTTTTTTTTTCCTTCCTTTCTTTCATTTGATTAGTGGGAGAATGATACATCCTTTGCCTTTTTACCTGTGTAGTAGTGAGAGTCAAAAAAGAGTTGTGAAACTTTAAAGTCTTTTAAAATATAAAGTCCTGCCTTTTTTGTTTATTTTTCACAGGCTGCCGAAATTGTATCTTTGTGAATTCTGTCTAAAATATATGAAAAGTAGAACTATTCTACAGCAGCACATGAAGAAATGTGGTTGGTTCCATCCTCCAGCCAATGAGATTTACAGAAAGAATAACATATCTGTTTTTGAGGTAAAGTAGATGTTTAGTAGTTATTTTCGTATACATTTCAAATATAGTGCCGCCTATACTGTATCTAATTGTGCAACTTGATTTTTTTTTTAATGTTATTTTACTGCTGTTCACTCACTCATATAGCAGATAGTTCTGCTGTATGAGAAGCAGAATTAGGCCAATGCAGATGGTACCAAGTTCATAAGCTTGATCTCAGAATAAATTATTCTGTATTTCATTAAATCAGAGATATCAATTATAATATATCTTATTATTTTATGTACCATTAAGAAGGAAAAAGTACTGCTAATATGATTTAAGGACTCCATTTGATTATAAGATGCCGACTGATTTTATATATGTTTAGAGGTGATTAAATTGTGTCTTAGAATCTATGAACTATGGTGTTTAAATGAAAAGATTTCTATTGCTCTATTTAAAGGAATATTTTGAAGAGGTATATATAAGTAGCTGCAGTAAATCTTAATATATTCTCCTGACTTCATCATGATATGACTTATGCTATGTATATGTAATTCTTCTGTGTTATTAGTAGTGGTTTTTAATTTCTTGATCCTCAGTTCTGTGGTTTGATTGCTAAGTATTAATTGAGTATCTGCCATGTGTTCAGTTCTGTTTATTACTAGAATTTACATCACTAGAATGATGATAGAATTTCAGATTGTCAGGATCTACTCAGTCTCTCACTTTCTTGATCTTCTCTAAGTATTTTATTTGAGGAATAGAGGAGCTTTTCACCTTGGGAGGAGGGGGAAGGATGTGGTATATAGTACTGTTTCAGAATACCTAAGAGCAAATTGCTTCTCAACTTAAGCATTTATTAGTGTGTGTTTTAAAAGAAGTAGTATTAAATTACACAAATTGTTGAGGAAGTTTCGGTCTTGAAATCTCAGTGTCTTGGGGTCTAATGTGGGCTCCATTGGCATTTTCATAAAAGATAAAGCTCCAGCAACCCCAAGAACTCAGGGGTGTCAGGAGCAACGGTAGCCTGCTGCTCCCGATCTGGGCAACCCGAGTCCAAGAAATATCTCATTTGTCAGGTTGTTACCTAGGGAACCTGCTTGGTGCTTCTGACAATAGCTAATACTCCCTCAGGAAACTTTATTTGGAGGTAAATCATGGCAGTCAGACTACATTGCTTCTGGCTGCTGCACAGATTAGATTATAGTTGTACTTTGTTTTATTTACAAATGTATTTTATAAGCAGTATTTAGATCTTTTGTTATATTAAATACTTTCAAAAATGAATCAGATCAGCTTGCCATCTGAAGCATTCCTGCATTCAATCTTATTATAAAAACAAAAAGTGGTATTTTCAATTTGGCCATCACCTCCTTGCTTTGTTGAGCACAGTATTTTGTAACTGATGTGTATTATTCTGGAACTAAAGAGATATTCTGCTGACTGTTTTGTTCTATTTTCCTCTAGGTTGATGGGAATGTGAGTACCATTTATTGTCAGAACCTGTGTCTCTTGGCAAAGTTGTTTCTTGACCACAAAACACTCTATTATGACGTGGAGCCATTTCTTTTTTATGTACTAACACAGAACGATGTCAAGGGCTGCCACCTTGTTGGCTACTTTTCTAAGGTAAATATAGCAGCTAAAAGTTTGTTTGAATCCATATGTAAACCTGAAACAATTTTTGCTGACTCTCACTAGGAGACACTACTGGCACAGCACCTTCTGCGTGCCACCCAGTGTTTTAGAAAGGGAAATAGAGGGAACGTTCAGAAACATCCCAGGTGCTAGAAGATGCCTAGTAACATTCAGCAGGCTCTACACACTCTCCTAGGAACATGAACTGCTGGCTATCCTCAAGAGGAAAAGTTTTTAAATTACTCCTATTCCCATGGTGATAATAGACAGAGCTTGTGAAATAAACACAGTCATTACCTCTCTTGAGTACTTTCTCAATTTATCTTCTCTTATTTGAATTTTAGGCATAGAAATAAGAATAAGAAGCCATTTTTATTAAAGGATATTTTTCTCCTTCCTTTAATCTTCCATTCTCTCGGGGAGAAAAAAAGTTGTCTTTTTGTCATCAAACAACATAAAAGATGTCCTTTTATTTGCACAAGCTCTTGGTAAAATCTAAGTGCATAAAATAGTTAAGTGGAAAGTTTTATAAGCATTAGCTTTATAAGCATTCTGTTACTAGGCTATTTCAGTAGTTAAATGTAATTTAAAATATATTGCCTTATCTAGAAAAATGTATTTGTACCCAACCAACACTTTGGAACTATTTTTTGTAAAGTTAGATACAGCTTATAGGGAGGTGGAACTGCCCTGTGTAGGACCAGAGAAGGAAATAAAAGAAACTTTGAAATAGTTGATGATGAATCTTCCCACTTCTAGAGTGCCACATTGACTCATCATTTGTGGCTTCGCAATTGACTGGGACTCAGATTCCTCTGCTCATCTTAGGCATTGACATACTGTTTCTGAGTTGCAGATGGTGTTGGATGGCATCATTTTATTTTATAATTTTACTCTCCTGGGATAGTTGCTTTGTTGGTAATGGCAGTGACTTAACATTGTCCTGTCTCCCAGTGGGGTGTTTTTTTTCTTGATGTACATTGTCATTCCCAAAGGACCAGGGCTGTGGTTTTGACTGTTAGTCTTTGTTTCTTAATAATTAACATTACTATTCAGTTTTACCAGCCTGTTGTTTTAAAACTTGGCTTCTATTTTCTCCTCCAGGAAAAGCACTGCCAACAGAAATACAACGTTTCCTGTATAATGATTCTTCCCCAATACCAGCGTAAGGGCTATGGCAGGTTTCTCATCGATTTCAGTAAGGATTATAACATAATTTTTCATCTCTTCTTCCTATGGATTATATAGTATTTTAATGATTTGAAGAGTATTTATTGGTTGTTGTACTGCTGTATGGAACTTTAAAACCTAGAGTCATTTTTTTGTTTCTTTTGCTTGGACATTAAATATTTTTAAATAGCCAGTATTGAATACCAACTTCTATGTGATCTAAGCAAATACCTTTAAATTGCAACTGTCAGTTTACAGTGGAACTTAGTTTAATGTAATAATTCTCACAATAATGCTAAAAACATTGTATAACTACTTAAATTAGTACTAATAAAGAAGCAAAGCACCTGCCCAATTTTTGTTACTCACAATGTGTGCATTGTTTTTTAGTAACAGACTCTACCTAGTGGTTAAAAATATGCAGTGCACCTTTAAAAATCTTAAAAGAAAGCACGATACAGTAAATAATTAAATCTGAGTCAAATATTGAAAGCTAATGGTTCTAAAAAGGTCATTGTGGAACTTGCATTTTGTTTTACACATTGTAATCCTGCTTAGAAAGTAATGTATGTTCGCAATAAATTTTATATTGATTATAAAATAGTGATATTTGAGGGAATATTTTCTCAGATATTGCTAAAAATAATAATATTTAAAAGAATATATTCAGAAACAATGGTTTAAACCAAGGATTTTGAGACAGACAATCCTTCTAAATGTCAGATAATTATATTGCTAGTGATAACAAGTTAATTGTCATATGGACCAGTGAACCTTATTCTACTTGGCCCTAGACAATACTTCTGATCTTGGAAATATGTGCCATTGGTGAATATGTACATTAATTGGTCTTTTTGGATTAGTAGCAAGAGGGTGGAACTCGGATTATTTCCTTTACTATCAATATATTGTTTTGAGAGAGTACTCATAACTGGACATGTTATGCCATTAAGTGACATAATTAGGGGAAAATATTTTATTATGCTGATTAGTCTTTTTTTTTGAGATATACAAAGATCAATCTGTATAGTTACAGTATTTTTTCATTTACTTTTTTTAATGTGTATTTTCCCACATAACCATTCTTAGATTTTTTTTAAGTTTTCTTTAATGACTATATACAACATTTTTTCTGCCATCCCCATTTTCGATACTTTTCCTTAGAATTTATGCCTTTCTTTTCCTGTTCTTGAGAGTCATGCACTAGACAAGAGAACAAAGTAATACCACCATATGCTCACAGTGACACCCACATGCTTACCAAGAATTAGGGTGGTGATACGTAATTGTGAGGAGAGCTTTGGTTGAAGTGAGAAATTGTCATCTAATTCACTCACAGAAGAACCACAATCTTTTTTTTTTTTTTTTTTTTTAATTCAAAGAACAACCACAAATCTTAATAGATAAGATTACACAAACACTAAGGCATTCTTCTGCATTATTCAATTCAGGTATAGCTGTTGCCATCTAGTGGTCCAAGTGAAACATGCAAGCGTGGTTTTCTACCATAGTATATTTTATTGGGTTGTCGGAAAAGTCATGACGTATTTTCTGTTTTTCATTGCAAAAATGCATCATGACTTTTCCAACAACCTAATACATTAAAAATGGAAAGCATTATTTCCTTAATCTTAGTGCAGCCTCTTAGTAGGAAGTACAAATTTTTAACAGTTTGAATATTTTAACAATATGATTCATATTAACTATAGGGAAAGTAATACTAACTGTATGTTCCATGTTTATAAATTATGTAATCTTCCTGCAAATTTGTTTTCAAGTAATTTTGCAATTTTTTTTCTTGAAGAAATTTACCTTTTTCTTAAAAAATGTTTTAATTATTATTTTTTAATTAGTTTCAGGTGTACAACACGGTGCAATAATCATATTTTTTTACCCCTCAAAGTGACAACCCTCTTCCCCCAATCCACCACTTCACTCCCCGCCATATCATACATATCTATTACAATTTCATTGACTCTACTCCCACACTATAAACTCCACATAAGAAATTTACCTTTGAAATTATTATTGCCTACAATACTTAGATTGGTTGTGGAAGAGGGGATTATGGTTTCGGTAAATTCGCCTTGTTTAGGTTCTCTGACATATTTGTGATTTGGGGGTTTCTTTAGGTTATTTGTTATCAAAGCGTGAAGGCCAAGCAGGGTCTCCAGAGAAACCATTATCCGATCTAGGTCGTCTTTCTTACATGGCTTATTGGAAAAGTGTAATATTGGAGTGCCTTTATCACCAAAATGACAAGCAAATCAGCATTAAAAAGTTGAGTAAATTGACTGGAATCTGCCCTCAAGACATTACTTCCACACTCCACCACCTAAGAATGCTGGACTTTCGTAGTGACCAGTGAGTATCACATCCCTTTGTTTACCTTCGAAGGATGATTGGTGGAAGTTTTTGGATCAGGCAGCCAAATTATTGATGGAAGAGCATAAATAAACTAATATAAATGGTATAGTTGGTGATCCTTAGACATAATTTTCCTTTCTATGATATTTGGTACTGTTGACAATGTATATTTTTTTAACTGTCTTTTGTGGTCTTCCTCCTAACCTTGAACCTAAGCTATTGAGTCTTTTATTTGCTAATATTAGAATTGATTCAACCCTAGAAACAATGTCAAGTAAAATATACCCATGCTTTATTTCTATTTACATGGTGCAAAATGAAATATAGGACAAAAGGAAGAGCTCACCCTTATCTCAAGTGGTTGGGAAAAGGTCACAAAGAAAGGAGGCATTTGATCTAGAACTATAGAGAGTAGGAGATAGAGTGCAGGAAAGGAGCAGAAATTCCAGAGGTGGGAAGTATGAGACAATAAATGGTTAAAATAACTTCATCCACTGCTATAATTGAGTTTGAAGTATTTATCTAACTTCATATTTCTTAGCTATCTCATATGATGGCATATTTCTGTATTTCATCTTCCCAGGCTTGCTATTTGTGAAGCATTTATCATCATCTCCAGGGTTTTCTGGGAGTTATAGCTCCATATTCATTGTTAGGTACTCCTTGTACGTCGGTGATTGCTATAAACTTTTCTCTGGTTCCAGATTTGTGATTATCCGCCGGGAAAAACTTATTCAGGATCATATGGCGAAACTTCAGCTGAATTTGCGACCTGTAGATGTAGATCCAGAGTGTTTGCGCTGGACTCCTGTCATAGTCTCCAATTCTGTTGTCTCAGAGGAGGAAGAAGAGGAGGCTGAGGAAGGAGAAAACGAAGAGCCGCAGTGCCAGGAAAGAGAACTAGAGACAAGTGTAAGGACATGAGTGTTTGTGATAACATAGTATGATATCTCAAACCAATATAGAAAATTCACATTAAAATTTCAGAGTTTATTTTAATAATAGACATTTCAGAAGACTGGATTTTGTTAATTTATTTGTACGTTTTTAAGCCTTGGATCACTAGGATACCTTCACATTTGTTATAATGTGTTACTTGTGACTAAATATTGCTTACCAGAGTGCCAATAAGCAACTAAACTTTAAGCTGTGTAGTCTGAATTGAATCTAAATCTGACCATTGTTAAAAATGAAATGAAGATACATTTTTCCTTAAATCATTAAGGAATAATGTAAACATGTATGTTTTCTAAAAGAGTGCTAAATAGTTCAGTAGATACACAAATGTCTTTAGCCATTAAAGGGTTAAAGCCATTAAAGAGAGAGACTGTACTACATTATATAGTTTTGAATATTTTTCTACAGTGATGCATACCTTTTTTTTAAGCAGTATTTTTACCTTTAAAAATCTGTCCTCCTTTGATAAACATAAAGCTTCATGCCCCTGTTTAATTTTCAAAATGAAATTAAATACTCAGAATAAAAATAAATCAAAATAATTATAGAAATTTTTTTTCATTATTTTCAAATACCCCCTTTCTGTTGCACATGCCCCAGAGCCCATTTCCTCCTCTCTGTTTATAAATTTTTATTTCTGAGAAATGTCATAAACTATCTCATTTAACATATAGAAGAAAAATAATATTCACTTTATTGAAGATGGTATTGCATAATGACTAAGAGCACTAACTAGCTCTAGGGTCAGACTGCCTGGATTCATATCCCAGCTTCTTCATTTGCTATTGCATGACCTGGGGCAAGTTACTTAAATCTTTTGTGCTTCAGTTACCTCATTTGTAAAATGGGCATATAATTATAATACTTCATAAAATTGTGAAGATTAAATGAATACCTATACAACATTTAAAACAGTGTTTGACACATAAGAAATAGTCATGTTAGCTATGAAATAATAATTTTCTTTTTTAAAGCTCTGTTTTCTTAGTGTTTAAAATGTCAGAATAGGTGATATAACCAAGTAAGACTGAAAAATTAACCAGCATGGTTTTATTTCCTAAAATCAGGTGGGAAAGTCTACATCTCGGGAAAACAAAGAACAAAATTCTTATTCTTCAATAGAAAGTGAAAAGAAACCAGAAGTTATAGCACCAGCTAGTTCTACACGTTTGAACAAACAGGTTCTTCCCCGTGATAGTCTTCCTGCAAATAATCAGCCATCTCGGAGAGGCCGCTGGGGGAGGAAGAACAGAAAAACCCAGGAACGTTTTGGTGATAAAGATTCTAAACTGCTCTTGGAAGAGACATCAGCTCCTCAGGAACAATATGGAGAATGTGAGGAAAAATCAGAAACCTCCCAAGAGCAATACACTGAAAGTGAGGAGCAGTTGGCAGCCTGTCAGGAGCAGCCAAGCCAGGATGGGAAGCCAGACATTCCCAAAAGAAGACTGAGTGAGGGGGTTGACCTATGGCGTGCACAGCTAAAGAAAAGCCCTGAGTCTCTGAAGTGTAGGCTACCAGAAGGCAATGATAGATTGGCCCGTCGCTATAGTGATGGTGACAGGGCTCTCCTCAGGGGCTTCAGTGAGAGCAGCGAGGAGGAAGAGGAGCCCGAGAGTCCTCGATCCACCTCACCACCAATTCTTACAAAGCCCACATTGAAGCGAAAGGTAAAGCATTTCTTTGATGTAGTCTTTTCTTCCTCCAGTTGCAGCGTATTGTATACATTTGTTCTGTCCTAGAGTTCTGAAAGAGTAAGTATAGAAACTACTACTGTGTTATTTTTATTTATTTTTAATTTTTTTTTTTTTTATATAGCTGAGCCATCCTGCTGCCTGTTGGCAGCTCAGCGGCAGCTCAGCTCGGGCCGGGCATCGAACCGCTGTTGCTCAGAGCTCCCACTCTTGAGTGAGCGCTTAACCAACTGAGCCACTCGGCTGGCCCTGTGTTATTTTTTAAACTTTAAGCCTCAGTCTACTATTCCCAGTGAACACTTAAAATGTGTATATGATTTCTTTGATTCATGGGAATTAACTTAGAATTCATAAGCTTATTTAAGAGCTGACAGAGTGTACTTCAGCCTGCTGGTTTGATGTTTAAATCATGACTTTTAGGGATTTTTGAAACATTTTAAAAGTGTGTACAGGTTAGAACTGTTCATATTAGAAAAGGACAGGAAAGGATTACACAGTTCCATGGAAAGCAGACATATATTGTGGTGCTCAGAGTGAAACCATTCATGTTACCTTGAGCGGTACTATTTGCCCTGTACTCACTCTCTCTTCTTTATTCCTCCAGCAGTTTAACTTAACCTTGTTTTAAAAATATTTTCTAAACTGTATTTCATCATTGTTCAAAGTTTGATTGATAGCCAGTTTGTTAATAAATGCTGTGTGATGATGATAGTGAATTCTGTTAAATTGCGTATGAGAAATATCCCAGGCTCTGGAGTGAACTTGAAGCATTGTTACAAGCTAGCCAGACTGAAGTATGTTGGCTTTCTGGATGAGCCACCCTGTAGTCGTGGGGTGACAGCTTTAATCCAAAGCAATGAAATCGTTCCTTTCCTTGGCAGACCCTTAAAAAAAAGGTAGGGCTATTTATAAAATAATATAAGCTCTTATTTTATATACAGTTTTAGATTTATAGGATTATTACAAAGAAAGTACAGAATGTTCCTGTATTCCCCACATCCAGGTTCCCCTTTTATTAACCTCTCAGGTTAGTATGGCACATTTGTCACAAATACTGAACCAATATATTGATACATTATTAACTAGAGTCTATACTTTATTCAGATTTCCTCAGTTCTTCCTAAAGTCCTTTTTCTGTTCCAGGATCCCATCCATCATACCACGTTATATTTACTAGTCATGTCTCCTTAGGCTTCTCTTGGTTGTAATAGTGTCTTAGACTCCTTGTTTTTGATGAACTTGAAAGTTTTGAGACTGTCTCTCATGATATTAGATGGGGTAATGTTTTTTGAGAAGAAGACCACAGAGGTAAAGTGCCATTCTCTTCACATCATGTAAAGGGTATCTACCATCAGTATATATCTATATACCAAATACAAAGGTATTTAGTATTAATATGACTTTTCACTGTTGATAGTAACCCCAATCACGTGACTTGAGGTTGTATTTCTCAGGTTACTCCACTGCAAAGTTACTCCTTTTCCCACCCTTTCCATACTGTACTCTTTGGAAGGAAATCACTGTCCACAGTCCACACTTAAGACAGAAAGAGTGATACTCTCCTCCTTAAATGCAGAATACTTACGTTTATTTAGAATCCTGTTGGGATATTTATTCATTCTCCTCCATCTATTTATTTATTCAAGCATCTATGTCGGTATGGGCTTGTAAATATTTACTTTATACTTTGAGTTATAATCCAGTACTTTTTTGGGGGGGGGTGGGGGGAGGGGAACAGCACTGGGGAATTGGGGGAAGGGAACAGATAAGTTGCTGTCGTTTTGTTCTTCAGTCTAGTTGTGGAGGACGTTGCTTCACTGGCCCAAGTTGGCACCNTTTTGTTCTTCAGTCTAGTTGTGGAGGACGTTGCTTCACTGGCCCAAGTTGGCACCACCATTGCGTTCTTCCCGGGTGAGGCACATCAGTCACCGGCTTCTGGACGGCCACTCACTGTGGCTGCTGGCCACTCACGCTGGCTGCCGGCTACATACGGTAGCCCATGGCAACCCACTGCCACAGGGACTGCAGCCTACGCCGTAGCCAGCGACTCACGACAGCCCAGCTCCAGGTTGAGCTGTTGTTCAGCATCTTAGCTGTAGAGGGCAGGGTCACTGGCCCTCATGTGGGATCCGAACCGGGGCCCTCTGGCGTCCCAAGCCAGCTCTTAACCATCACGCCACTTGGCCAGCCCTAATCCAATACTATTTTATTTAATTTGTTGTTCAAATTCTTCCAGCTCTGGCCATTAGGACCCCTTTCAGTTTTGCTCCTGTCCCTTTAACATACATGCCCTCATTGTGATGGTTTTTTGTTTTGTTTTGAGCACTTCCTTACTTTCTGGTACTACAAGATGTTCCAAGTTCATCTTGTATATTTCATACCCAATCCTAGAATCAATTATTTCTCCAAAGAACAAAGCCATGTTTAACCTAGTTTGAAAGTTATGTTTGCAAGTAGAAGGACTTGTAGATTTGAAGTAGAGAAAAATTGAACTCTTGGCTAACTCTATTATTCATTAGTGACAATGCAGACTATATCTTTGCCATCCTATGCTTAGATTGCCTATTTATAAAATAAAGTTATGCTATTTCTTTGTGTAAAAAAGGAATATTACAATAGGCTGTGAGATCATGTACAAAGTACTTTGAAGTTCTTGAAGAAATTCACTGACTGGGACTATATTTTACAACCATGTCTATGCTGACTGATTGTGTGACCTTAAGCCCTGTAACCTTTCTGGCCTCTATAGAATGAGGGGATCGGATTAAATCATTTCTGGTACATCATCTTTGTTTTGTGCTATTGTGTGATTTAGGGTATTAGATCAACCCTAGTACACAATTGTGCCTAATGTGCCAAGTTCCAGTAACAGATTTATTTTACTTTTGAAATGCTTCACTAACATCAAGTAAATACATATCGGCTCCCTATTTCTGCATTCCGATATAACTATATGGATAGGTCATGAAAATGGCATGCAGTTTTACTGACAGTTCTTAGACAAAGTGTTTTATTCCTTTTTTTTCTCTTGAGGAAAGAGAAGTTAAGGGTCTAGCCCAGCTGTTCTCAACCTTTCCCAGGGGTCGCCTAAGACCATCGGAAAACACATATTTTCTATGGTCTTAGGAACTGAGACACCACTCCTCTATCCGTCCCCAGGCCCGCATGCAGATACGCCCACATACGAGTACCCAGTGACTCCTGTGAAAGGGTCATTCGACCTCCAAAGGGGTCGCGACCCACAGGTCGAGAACCGCTGGTCTAGCCTATGTTTTATTTCTGTGTTGAAATAGGCAACTCCCTAGGATATTTAATTTAACTGAACTGTTAATAAGGGAATTATAATATCTGCTCTTTGGGCATAGCTGCCTATTTTACGAAGTTGTATTCAGTTATCCAACATCTTTGTATCTCTGATACATTATGTATGGTATCTTATTATAGTATTTTGAAATAATATTTAAAATGTCTTTTGGCAATTTAGCATTCTCGTTTGATATGTGCTAATTCTATTAGGTTTAAAACTATTAACCATGTAATTAATTAAAAATGATATGTTCATTACTGTAAATAAAATACTTTCTCTTTCATATAGAAACCAATTCTTCACCGAAGAAGGAGAGTCCGAAAGCGCAAACACCACAATAGCAGTGTGGTCACAGAAACTATTTCTGAGACTACAGAAGTATTAGATGAACCTTTTGAAGACTCTGACTCTGAGAGGCCGATGCCAAGATTAGAACCCACGTTTGAGATTGATGAAGAAGAAGAGGAAGAGGATGAAAATGAACTCTTCTCTAGAGGCTACTTCCGTCGTTTGTCCTCACAAGATGTTCTCAGGTGTCGATCTTCTTCTAAGAGGAAATCTAAAGATGAAGATGATGATGACGAAGAATCAGATGATGCTGATGGTATGTTTTTCAGAACTTTTGCTTATTGTAGTTTTATTGTCTTTAAAGATAGAGCAGTGATAGCTAAAACCCTTCAAAAAAAGGCTGAAAAATGAACACAACCTACTAGGCAAGTAAAGGATGACTTAGGAACCTCTAAAAAGTTGTATCAAGTATATTCACTCTTATTTTCTCATTTAGTTCTCTGTCCTTTTAAAATGCTTTTTTCTACTTGAGACCATCAACTTGAGACCTATTTTTGCCCTGCAGAAAATATCTTGCTGTTAGGAAATTATTCTTTTTTGCCTGATCCTTTTTTGTCCATTATCTGAATCTTTAGTGGGTGGATTAGACTTAGCATCAGGAAGATACTTAAGTAATAACCCTTTACCAGAATGTGCCCTCTGTAGACTTAGTCTGTTTTGCTAATTGTAGTATGCTGAGTGCTTAATATAGGCACTCAATAAATATATTAAATGAATAAGTGCTAAGAGTATGGTTCTTAAATTAGATCAGATTCATGTAAATTGGACTTGCTTCAAATCTGTTCAGGAATCCTTCCTAAATCATATCTCTAATGTGCCTTACTCAATTAGTAGTAAATTTCTAATAAAAATGGTAACAATGCCTCAAAATAGGTTAAATTTTATGGCATAGCTGAACATTCAATAATTTACTTTTAAAAAGCCTTGTTGTAATTTCCTCTCTAGAAATAAACAAACTGGGGCTCACATATGAGCTGGGTCATGCACTCATCATTTACATTCTCGCCTCAAGTTTTTGCCAGTGTATCATGCTGCCTGCATCTGCAGTGTTTGCCTTGCATGGGTCAAACTGAGCTTTTCCACTTTGCTGGGTGAATTAGAAGGAATCTAGTTGTCTACATGTAAACTTGTAGCTTTTATGTATTAACTAGTTGAGTCTTTTTTTTTTTCCTTTTAAAAACAAATTCACTCAATTTCAGACCTAGTGGATAACTTGCATTTTTTCCATTCTCATGTTTTTATATAGTAAACACTTTTAATAAAGTGATAATATGACTGTGTGTTTTTGCCTTATTTGAATGATTTTCCAGAGTTTTATTATGTTATATTTTGAGATACATAGCTAGGAAACTAAAAATGTATTTTGTAAATTTGGCACTGTAGTAAAATTCTAACTTGGATCATTGTAGACTAAAATAGTATCCTTCTAAGTTTCTGTTGAGCTGGACAAATTTTCTCTGTTACAGCCATTTCTGTAGTAACTTTCCAAAACCATACAGTTGGTGATGATAAGTCTGAACTGATTTTAACTAGTGGATGGTAACAGAATGATGACGAGCATTCTTTCATTGTTTACCATGTAACTTTAAAAGATATCACTAATTAAGTTTCACCTTTAGATTCTTAACTTGAAGATAAGAGTTTGTGATGATTTATGAAATCATTTCTGGTGTACATGCTAGTCTCAGAAAAGGGCACTGGAAAACATAAGATTCTGTAACCTATTTTTATTTATTTTTTTATCATTCCTGTACAGACACTCCTATCCTAAAGCCAGTATCTCTCTTGAGAAAATGTGACGTGAAGGATTCTCCACTTGAGCCAGATACATCCACACCTATGAAAAAGAAAAAGGGATGGCCCAAAGGCAAGAGCCGCAAACCAGTCCACTGGAAGAAAAGACCCGGTCGCAAACCGGGATTCAAGTTGAATCAGGAAATCATACCCATTTCTACTCAAGAATGCATTGTTGAGCCCATTGTCCCCATTCCTAAATCTGGACGTAAACCCAAAATTCAAGACAATGAAGAAACTGTTGAATCAAAAGAAGACTTGCCTTTAACTGAAGAAAGGAAGGAAGAGGAGGAGATGCACGTGGAAGCAGAAGAGGTTGAAGAGGGAGAAGAAGAAGATACAGCCAGCAGTGAGGTTAGAGCAGCTTCTCCAGTGGACAGCAGCAGCAGTCCCGAGATGGAAACGAAAGAGCCTGAGGGAGAGGAGGAAGAGGAGAAGCCCCGTGTCTCCGAAGAGCAGGAGCAGCCTGAGGACGAGCAGCAGGAACCGGGAGAGGAGGAGGCGGCCGTAGCGGCACGCCAGAATGAAGACCATGACGCAGATGATGAAGATGACGGCCACCTGGCACCTGCCAAGAAGAAGGAGCTAGAGGAGCCGCCCCTTAGAGATGATGTCAAGGAGGAGCCTGGTGGCCCAGAGGCTTTTTTAGATACGAGTATGCAGAACAGTCGGGAGAATATAAAGGATAAAGATGAAACAGAACCAGATTCTGAAGAGGAGCAGACTTCCCATGAAACATCCGTGGTGTCAGAACATATGCCAGGGTCTGAGGATGATCATGAAGATGAGCCCAACTCTAAAGAAGAATTAATTGAGTTAAAAGAGGAAGAAGAGATTCCTCACAGTGAACTGGACCTGGAAACCGTGCAAGCTGTGCAATCTTTGACTCAAGAAGAAAGCAATGAGCACGAGGGTGCCTACCAGGACTGTGAGGAGACGCTCGCAGCTTGTCAGACCCTGCAGAGTTACACCCAGGCTGATGAAGACCCTCAGCTGTCGATGGTTGAAGACTGCCATCCTTCAGAACACAATAGCCCAATATCTTCTGTTCAGTCTCATCCCAGCCAGTCAGTCCGTTCAGTCAGCAGTCCCAACGTGCCTGCCCTTGAAAGTGGTTACACCCAGATCAGCCCAGAACAAGGATCCCTGTCCGCACCCTCTATGCAGAACATGGAGACCAGCCCCATGATGGATGTGCCTTCCGTATCAGACCACTCTCAGCAGGTGGTGGACAGTGGCTTCAGCGACCTGGGCAGCATAGAGAGCACCACAGAGAACTATGAGAACCCTAGCAGTTACGATTCCACAATGGGCGGCAGCATTTGTGGGAATAACTCTTCCCAGAGCAGCTGCTCCTATGGTGGGCTGTCCTCCTCCAGCAGCCTCACCCAGAACAGTTGTGTCGTCACTCAGCAAATGGCAAACATGGGCAACAGCTGCAGCATGATGCCGCAGAACAGCGTCCAGCCTGCTGCCAACTGCAACATCAAGTCACCTCAGAGTTGTGTGGTGGAGAGGCCTCCCAGCAACCAGCAGCCCCCGCCGCCACCACCGCAGCAGCCGCAGCCGCAGCCACAGCCCGCCCCGCAGCAGCCGCCGGCACCGCAGCCACCGCCCCAGCAGCCACCGCAGCCACAGCCGCCGCCGCCGCCACCTCAGTCCCAGCAGCCTCAGCCCCCGCCCCCACCCCAGCAGCAGCCGCCACTGTCACAGTGCAGTATGAATAACAGTTTCACTCCAGCGCCCATGATCATGGAGATCCCAGAATCTGGAAGCACTGGGAACATCAGCATCTATGAGAGGATTCCAGGGGATTTCGGTGCCGGCAGCTACTCTCAGCCATCAGCCACCTTCAGTTTAGCCAAGCTGCAGCAGCTGACTAACACCATTATGGACCCTCATGCCATGCCTTATAGCCATTCTCCTGCCGTGACTTCCTATGCAACCAGTGTTTCTTTGTCTAATACAGGACTGGCTCAGCTAGCTCCATCTCATCCATTAGCTGGGACCCCTCAAGCACAAGCCACCATGACACCGCCCCCGAACTTGGCGTCCACCACCATGAACCTCACATCACCTCTGCTGCAGTGCAACATGTCTGCTACCAACATTGGCATTCCTCACACTCAGAGGTTGCAAGGGCAAATGCCAGTCAAGGGGCATATTTCCATCCGCTCCAAATCCGCACCGCTGCCCTCTGCGGCTGCTCACCAGCAGCAGCTGTATGGCCGCAGCCCACCAGCGGTTGCCATGCAAGCTGGCCCTCGTGCATTGGCTGTTCAGCGCGGCATGAACATGGGGGTTAATTTAATGCCAACCCCTGCCTATAATGTCAATTCCATGAATATGAACACCTTGAATGCCATGAACAGCTATCGAATGACACAGCCTATGATGAACAGCAGTTACCATAGTAACCCTGCCTACATGAACCAGACAGCACAGTATCCTATGCAGATGCAGATGGGGATGATGGGGAGCCAGGCCTATACCCAGCAGCCTATGCAGCCAAACCCTCATGGAAACATGATGTACACTGGCCCCTCCCATCACAGCTACATGAATGCTGCTGGTGTGCCCAAGCAGTCACTCAATGGACCTTACATGAGAAGATGAGCAAGCTGAACTTTCAATTAAAAACTTAAATATATATAAATAAAGGAACCTTTTATACTGACAAACCAGAGAAAAATGGACCTTTTTTTCCAGTTAAAATATTGCTGTAGATTTAGAGGAATTTTTCTTTGGTTTATTTTACTTTTTAGAAAACCTGGTCTTCTCTTTTGGGGGTTCATTTTGTTCTGGGTTTTGGTTTTCTTCACAATCTTGAACATTTTACAATAGAACTCATCTAAAAATGGATTTGGGGATAGGGGAAACATGCACAAAAATCTTTTCATAATTAAAAAGAGCCTTACTTTCTTTACACGCCACATGGACAGAATTTGTGTAAAAGTGAAATATCTTTATTTTATTTTAAGATGTATGTTTCCCCTCACTGTTTGCAGCTCCCAATGTTGTCATTTTTAAATGTTATATATACATCTCGAGGGTTAACCAGACCCTCTCCTCCAAACCCAACCTTTCATTTCCTACTTCATTCCAGCAGGAGGCACTTATGGGAGACTCGGACGGGGACATGGAGAACAACCCAAGCTCCTTAAACTTATTATTATTGTTAATATTATTATTATTATTATTATTAATAAAGTGAGGCAGGAAAATGCTTCTCCTTTTAAAATCCCCTCCACTCCCTACACACACACACCTCTTGAAACCTTTCCCCAAGAATGTTTCTTTATAGATGGACTTCATCGAAATGTTTGTCTTTCTTAAATCAAGTGTAATATAATTTTTTTTTTTTACTGTTCCCACTCAGCACTCAGAGACACAAAAATACTGTAAGTCTCAATTAACAGCAGAATCTCAGAGGAAAGCTGTTTGCAATCCTAATTTAGCCTTGGAGGAATAGAGATGATCAGTTAACAATCAAAAAGAGGAAACTAACCTCTTGTTTTTTACCACCTGGTGAATCAGCCATAACGCCCATATTCCATGCAGCCTCTTGTTTTTAGTATGTACGTTGAGATGCTAAGGGTCTTGATTTTTGAGCCTTTGACTCTGATTAAACTCAAGCAAGAGTCCCCAGTGATTAGCCTCTTACATTCTTACACAGTGTTGGTGGATGACTGTACATGTCAGTGATTTGAAAATACCTGACAAACCTTTGACACTGTTTTATGTTGGAAGAGAAGACACAAAATTTGTGTCATAAGGGAGATCATGGTGTGAGTTTTATAGCTACTTAAATGATACATACCTCTAGTCTTCATTTGTCTTTTGAGACCCTGAGTTCACCCCCTGTGAATCAGTGCACCAGCCCCTCTCCTGTGAGTGGCTAAAGAGAAGAGGGATAAACCAACCACCAGCATAGTAGGGCAAACCTGGACAGCAGGGTTTCAGCAGGCTCCTATGTTGTTCCCAGTTCCACTCTCTTTTCTCTTATGCAGCCAGTTTGCCCATTCTCTTCCTGTTACTTGCTCCAGGGATAGGTAAAAAATATTATATATATATATATATATATATATATATATATATATATATATATATATATATATATATTCCATCATTAGAGGATGGAAACTATTATACCACTTGGTATGTGCAGTCAAATATCCAAAAGGGGGAAGTACTGCTTAAAGAATTACCTGTAAGCATTAAATTCTCCTTTATTTGTACATTTTATATAGATAAATTTTTGAAGTGCTAATTAGGCATTAAATTTTTTCAAATGCACAGGTTTGTTGGTTTTTTTTAATACACTTTAATTGACTTTCTCAATTAAATGTGTTAGGTAGGAAAAAGCAGAATTCACATCGTACTCGATCAAGTCTGAGCATGTGCAAGGCTGTGTAGGACCCAGTTTCTCTGTATATACGATTCCAGTTCCCAATCATCTGTGTAGAAAGTGCACTGTACTGCCCTCTCCCTACATCTTCAGCTCTGTCATTGCTTCCTGGTTGGGGTGGGGGTGGGGTGGGTAGGGAGGGAAGTATATTGGGAGGAGGGTGGGTCAAGGCAGAAGGAGAAGCTGTTGAAATGAGGGCCGTGAATTCAGTTTCTGTTGGTTTGCGGTTGTGTTTGGTTTTGTTTCTTTCTTTAAAAAAATAAAAATTCAATCGGGCAGCTCCCTTTTTCCACAAGCCTTTTTGTGACTGTAGAACTATTGTAGAGAAAATGTTCTTTTCTATATTATAAAAGAAATTATCCAACACAGTAATATTGGTACCTGTCATTTTTTCACTTCTGTTTAAAAAAAAAATGTATTTTTAGCAAAATAACTTGGGTAATCTTCTAAAAAAGAAATTTAAAAACTCACTGTTAGTGACTTTGATGCCTTTTAAAATAAGAGCTTTTTCATTTCATTCCATCTTTAAAATTTTTTATCTTTGTTGTAGAATATTAAAAACTATTTTAAGAAAGATAAAAATTCTCTTTAAAGAGATCTCTAGAGTGTGTGAATAGAGCTCCAGATGCCTCTAAAAGCCGCATGTACAAATGAAGCTAAGTCTATACCTGTCTGTTTATATTTGCTTTTCCTGTTTTGTAACCTCTTTGTACTTTGTTCATGGTGACTTGTAAGCTAAGGGGAAGGGATGCCTAGATGCCTTTGTATTCCTCCATGTCACGCGCTCCTGGGCCAGTCGGTCTCCCTTCCTCTCCTTGTATGTAATATCACTTTTTTTTCCCCTTTCTAGCAAGTACTTTCAAAAGAACTCTGTACATTTTAACATAAAAAAATAAATTATGTTGAGCCATTTTGGATGTCTGTCTTGCATGTGGAATTTTTCTCCCAAATATTTCATTCTCCAATTCTTTTTTTACACACAGAGACTTAAAAATATTAAAATTTTCATGTTCCTCTTTATGTAGCAAGTGTAAGCTCATGACCTTTGTTTTGTAATTCCAGTTTTCAAATATATATGTGTTTAAATGCCAACAATATAGAAGGTTTTTCCCTTTCCAAAAAAAATGGTATTGTAATCTCATTTTGGATTTTTTAGGGAAATCCACTTGAAAACCCTGTAAAGGGATTGTGATTCACCCAACCAAAGAAAGCAAATGCAGTTGTAATGACAGATAGCTCTTAAGACTTGAAGCAAAGCAGTGTTCTCATCTCAGTTTACCTGAGTATGTAGTCTAGGGAGATTTGCCAGAAATCCATACCCCGCATTTATAACCTTTTTTGATGTTTTCTGGGTTACTGTATTTATCTAACATTTAGAATTTTGGATATAAGGCAGATTCCTGGAAAACTGGCAGCTTCTTGAGGTAGAGAGGTGAAGCAGGTACAAGTTTTAGTGACTTTTAAACTTTATGCCACTCTTTCACACTGAGTTAGGAATCTAGGAAGTGTACGTGAATAGTATCTGTAGCAGACATTTGCCCTAAACCTCATTCCATTAAAGTTTTAGGCCATAAGTCATGTCATCTCCAGAAAAGAAATGGTTTGTTTCCCAGATTTCTTTGTTTGCTGAAGTAACTGTGGTTTGGACCCAGGACTCTGTTGCGGTTCTATGCAATTATGAGTGGATTTTCTTGAAAACATACTTCCTTTTGCTGTTGCAAACTACCTGCTTTAAGTGAATTCAACATACAGAAATTCTGATTTTCCTACAAAGGAGGTAATGTGACCAAAGGATGAATTATCGATTTTTTTTAAAAAGATTTTTATTGGGGAATTGGGGGATGGGAACAGTGCTGGGGAATTGGGGGAAGGGGGACAGACAAGTTGCTATCCTTTTGTTCTTCAGTCTAGTTGTGGAGGACGTTGCTTCACTGGCCCAGGTTGGCATCATCATTGTACTCTTCCCGGGCGAGGCAGATCAGTCACCGGCCTCTGGACAGCCGCTCACTGCAGCTGCTGGCCACTCACGCTGGCTGCTGGCTACACACAGTATCCCATGGCAACCCACTGCGTCAGGGGCTGCAGCCTACGCCGCCGTCGCAGGCGACTCACGGCAGCCCAGCTCCAGGTTGAGCTGTTGTTCAGCATCTTAGCTGTAGAGGGCAGTGTAACTGGCCTGCATATGTGGGATCCGAACCGGGGTCCTGCTGCTCAGAGCTGGTGTTCCAAGCCAGCTCTTAACCAACGTGCCAACTTGGCTGGCCCTGAATAATATATTTTCATTTATAGCCAAATCACAAGTGATCTGAGCAGAAGAGGTGCCCTCGTTTATTATCCACCCTCTGACTTTTTCATTCTGCATCAGAAAGTAGATGTGGGAGGAAAGTGGTAATGCACTTGATGAATGTGTATGTTGCTGAGAGCCTTGGTCTACCCAATTTAGACTCTTGCCATGCATTCAGTAACTAGGGTTGCAGGAATCACATCCTATAAGGCCTCTCTGAGCATCTCAGGTGGTGCCCAGTGTTCTTCGTAGCATGGCGACAAGTGTGTATTCATTGAATGCCAGAGTCTGTCAGGTTGACTAGCTCTTTAGGTGAGAATTACTGTTTCAGGTTCTTCGTATTAACAGCCTGGGCAGTGTGTGGTGGTTTTTGTACTTCTTGTCTTTTCATAATGTACAGTGAGGATGATAATGGGAAGACATAGTGAAAAGAGAAACAAAAAATAACTGTTGGCAGACAGAGTAAGCAGGGTTATTATTATGAGAAGAGGGGTGGGGGGAGAGAGCTCCATATCCTTGATGTGTCAACTTTCAAGTAATCTAAAAATTCAAATGACACGTTTTCTGTAAATGAACACAGAATGCATGTAAAGTAACATTGTTTTATGTTGGCAAAAGTCTGGAATTTTTGAGCACGGCCATCCAATTAAAAGCTGATAATCCCCAGACCAAAACCTAACTCGTTTCTTAATAAATCCCTGTTAAGGGCCAGGATGGGTTTGTTATGTAAGTTGGTGTGGTTACATAACGCAGCACAGGCCCATGGATTTTCTTTCCAGAGTGACAGCTACAAATTGGACTTGAGATTCCTTGCTATATCAATAAGAAGCCTAAATATTGGTATACAGATTGCTTAAAAGCTCTCGAAGGTGGCACTTGTAATTTTTGTCTGAAATAAGGAAAGCCCTAGGGTATTATGGGCTTTGGTTTTTTGAGGTCTTTAAAAGCACTAGACAGAGATAGTCATAGGGAATTGTTTTCCTGCAACTATTGTGAATAAACTTTTTGAATGTGAAATATACATTCTTATTAGCAAGAAAAAAATTCTAACATTTAACTACTAAATAGCTATTTCTGAAAGCCACATTTAACATTAAAAAAATAATAAACATTCTCTGGGATGATATGTTCATTTTTAGTTGGCCATTTTTAGTTTATACATGTACAAAATGAGCAAGCTAAGATGAGCAGATGACCTGAGAAAGTAATTGTTTAATGTGTATGGAATGATAATGCTCGTATAGCTCGTTGGGATTTCCATGAATATGCATTGAAAAATTGATGTCTGGTTAATGTGGGAGACACAAGCCATTCAGATCACCTCTTGAGTTACGTAAGACCTTAAAGAGCTTTTTGGGCCCCAGAATCTATTTTTTTAAATTTCATATAAAACACTGTATTTGGTATCCTAAGTTTAAAGTCTCTTGTGAACAAAGTAAAGAAAAACATTCATATATATAATAAAATTTCTTTGCTATGACTGAGGCTCTGCCCCATGTACAAACAAATTCTAATTGTTTAATTGATGTATTGCATTTTTAAAAATTGGCTGATGATTTAATTTTCTTTTTAAAAGAAGGTAAGAAAAGCAGTTACAGTCAATTATGTCAAAATGATTGAAATGTTCCCAAAGAAAATAAAAACAGTTATATATTGACTTGGGACAGTAAGGAAGGCTTTACAAAAGGCAAGGGCCTCTTGCAAAATAGAATAATTACAGAATTCTTTAAAAGTTTGTTTTGCTCCTGTTTAAGGAAAATAGCTAGAATTGACTAGAACTCCTACCTTGACATCCACAAAGCGTTCTTGATTGAAAGTTGTAATCTGAAAACTGAATAATATGGAATGTTGCAAGAACAACTTTAGAGAGCCAAGGAATAATTCCATTAAAATTACAAAGGAAAACAAAGCAAAACAGACCCAAATCAGCCACCACAGCCTCTCTTTGTTGAGTCATTTCTTTGGGGCTCCCAGGGAACGTCTGTCATCAATCTGCTCCACCCTCTTTGGTGTATCGACTTTGTGTTCAGATGGCTCCGGCCCAAGCTGCCTTCCTCTGCAGGGCCAGGCATCATGCAGAGATGTGAATATGCCCAGAGAAAAAGAGGGACTTTGTTCCCCAACACCTTTTTTATGCCCATTTTTATTGTAAAACTTGAGTATACACACAGGGTACAGAAAACGTGGACAACTTAATGAATCTGTATAAAGTGAATACTTATGTAAAAATCAGTTCGAAAAGTGAAACAGCAGCTCAGAAATCCTCCACCCTGACTCAAGGCCCCTTTCTAATCACAGTGTTCTCTCCAACCGAGGGTAATTGCCAGTTGGGTGGTAAATGCTTTCTTTAATTAAAAATAT